GCATAAGTTTTTAGCAAATGTATTTTACCCATAATAGTTAAATCTCTTTGTTTCCACCATACAAGCAATTTTTTTATTTTACTTAAAATTTCTTTATAATTCAAATCATCTTTTAAACTTCGATCTAATGAATAACTAACCCCTAAAATATGTATTTCCTTAACCAAATTTCCAAATAAAGGCCCATCAGGTTTGTTCTCATCCTCACCCATCCACATAAAATGTGTCTTTGTTTTATTCACTTTAAGACCACTAATTTTTTCAAATGATTCAAAAATATATTGCAACCTTCTAACCGAATCAATATCCTTCAAAAATATTGTCATATCATCTGCATATAACACTTGCCTAATTTCAGATTTTCCAAATGTAATCCCTTTAATACCGTTGTCCCTCCTTACTGCATGCGCCAAAATTTCGATGGCAACCAAAAACAAATATGGCGATAATGGATCCCCTTGCCTTACTCCCCTTTCTATTTCAAAATACCCCGTGGAGTGACCACCGTTCATAACACAACTACTTATCCCTTTATACAATAATTTTACCCAAGAGCAAAATGAATCTCCAAAACCGAACAATTTCAATATTTGAAATAAATATCTATGAGATACAGAGTCGAAAGCTTTCTCAAAATCCACTGCACACAAAAACCCTTTCCCTTGTTCCCCATAATGCATAGAATAAAATAACATGTCATCTATCAATCGTACAGCTTCCCCAATATTTCTATCTTTTATATATCCAACTTGATCATGATGAATTATTTCATTTAAAACCTCTTTCATTCTTTTTGCTAGAACTTTAGACACACACACACACACACACACGCACACACGCGCGCACACACACACACACACACATACACACACGCACACACACGTATGGGTAGCCTTTAATTGAAGTTGAAAATTCATTGAGAAAACAGACCAATAATCTAATATCCGTTATCTTGGTTACCGTCAAACGTTAATGTCACTTCATAATTATATAGGCTCTTTTTCCTTCTTTCAAATTGTTGAACGGTTTATCTAAGGGTAAAGAGCAACGAATTTGTATATGTACCGTACCACAGTTAGACATTGTACAATCTCTTTTGCAAGTTCAGCTTTTTTTCTCTCCGGTGTGTGATTTATATTTCTCTACATTTAATTCCGCTTATAACGACGTTTTCTTTCTCCAAAATAAATGATGGTGTTCAATACTATGTTTGACTACTTGTAAAGAGATAATCTATGAAGTCTCTTTCACTTCGTGAATTCTATTTTGTCACAAACTGAATCACAGAGAGGTTATAATTTAAGGAGTGTACAATTGCACAATGGTACCCACTTGAGTATTTGAAGCGATGCCAACAACAGGCAGCATAATATCAAAAGGGGAATTCCATCCCCCAAAATCACTCTGAGAATACTAGGCAGAATATTATACGGGATTTACGTGCAGGGTCTGTACAAAAGTTCTTTAATGGCTCAGTATGGGTTATCATCATCAAATTGTGCACGAAATCACATCCAATCATGCAAAAAACATAGTTGATCTACAATAGAATTGGAAGATATTTGGCACTCAAGTACGCTAACCCTTTACTGAGATGCTTCATACATCATGTAAGCGGGAAATAATCAAGTCTACAGGGCTAGAGCTGAATAATAATATAGCTATATTTGGCAAAGGGAAAAGACGTGCGTTATTTTGACCAGGTCAATATTCAAATACCTTGCAGAATTCCTTATTTACTACATAACTTAGCAGTGAGCAAAAGTCTTTCCCAAATGAATTAACCGATCTGACCATTGAAGTAGAAGTAGCTGGGTAAGGCTATTGTTTGCAATGGGGGAAACTTGTCCATGAATTTACATGAACTTGTCTATTATATTTTATGTATTGAATGCATTCAGATTGTTAATCGAGGCAATGCCATTATTACCTCAGTGTCATCTCATATGAAATTTAAGTAGCCAAATTGAGTTATGCTGCTCCTTGGCCACCAGAAGCCTTGGTGCACAAATTTAAATATAATGATAGTCAACTAAGCAATGTCTTTTGTCCAATGTAATGTTAGTTTTCCCTCCCTAACGTCGTTAACAAAATATATACAATGTAAAAGGTAAGTGTTTAACGGGTCCTGCTATTCAATGACCCCTGTGTAAACAAGGAATGCGTTTGTGAGTCGCGCTGTAGCTTGGAATCTTCCGACTAAGTACAACGTCCCAAACATTTGTTTTCCTTTACTTCTTAGGAGGGGGGGGGGGGGGGTTGATCCCTTCTTTATTTATATCTTATACAATTCTGTCTCTTTTCTTGCTTTTTTCCTTCGATGTTTAACTGCGCATCGTGGTAAATATCAAAACATGTTAGGGACTTTTAGATTGAGTGGACGAGAACATCGTGAACGTCCACCGATCATGGCAAGCCGTTTTAAAATGTATTCCTTTTTCATGATATCAAGAATTACCATTGCTTTACAAAAGAAAAATAATTTCTTGATATCAAGAATTACTATTGCTTTACAACAGAAAATACATTCTTGATATGAATAAATGTTAAATACGGCTTGCCCATTGACACGCATGATCAGAGGACGCTCACGCCGTTTTCTTCCACTCAATCTAAAAGTCCCTATTGATTAGTCTCTAATTCAGTATTGCTGTTTCATAGAGCACAACTATGAGACTAGACAAAGAGAAAGTAAGAAGTTAAGTGTGCCTAAAGTAAGGACAACGCAAGGTAAATTTTCAATGTCATTCAGAGGCACACGCTATTGGAATGATCTACCCCTTTCTGTACGGGAGAAAGCATCAGTATCTTGCTTTCGTAGAACTCTTATATCACAAATGTTAATAGAATAGTTGTTTAGAACTTAGAACCAAGGCTCTTGCCTTTTTGTAAATATTATGTTATATAATTCTTCATCTTTTATTTAGTGTAAAATACCAAAGCTTTGTATATAAGCACAGAACATATTTACCCTAGATGTAGAATAATTTGTAGCTTAGGTACATGTATGTATTCAATAGTTATTCATATTTATTCATTACATTCTCATTTATTGCTGTGATACTTTTTGTGTGTTAGTGGTACTAGACACGATTAGCATTTAATGCTATTTTCTGGTCCCATTTATCCTTTCAATGTTAATTAATCATTCACATTTGATTGTTATATTGATGTACTTTTTGTTTTGGATAATAAACTTCAAACTCAAACTCAAACTCAAACTCAAACAAATGCATGTGAACCCTAATCCAACGAAGCAGGTTAATTTTCTCAGAAAAGCCTTCTAAGCGACATAAGCTGTAACCACGGTTCTACTACTATGTCCATGTTGTAACTGAGAATTAATGTCTAAAGCATCTTTCACACTGGGCCATACGTAGAGTTGCGTTGTGTTGCGTACCGACTACGCCGAGCGTACGCTGTACTACGCTGGCCTGCGTAACTATACGCTGAGGGACGCAAAGGCGTACGCGAGATGGACGCTTTCGCGTACTTATGGCGTAGACACTAGACGCAGAAAGTACGTATTTTTGCGCAAGTCTACGCAACACTCCTTCACTGTACGCCATGATGCTTACGCAATAGCACGCCAACCTACGCCAGTCCGACGAAACAGTAAAAGCGTATACAGGCGTCCTAGATCCTAGCTGCGCACCTACGTACCCTTTACGCCAGGCCTACGTAAATGTACGTAACCATACGCCTGTTAAACGCAATCGTTCGCGTAGGTACGCCAATTGCATACGCCGTAGGTACGCGATGCTAATGCACAGGGTACGTAACAATACGCAGGAACTACGCTGAAGCATCATTTTGTTCATGAGTACGCAGCCTAATTTCGACGTACTCGGTACGCCACACTACGCAACTCTACGCAAATCATGTGTGAAAGGGGCTTTACCCAAGGGCAATACACCACGTTGACTTATTTTCAACAGTGTCTTACATAAAGAAGACTTCGAAAAAAAAAAAATTATCATTTTTAGACGACATGCAATATCCATGGACATAAATGCAACGGATTAATACTGCATAAAAGAAATGCACTCGCTTTGTATCGTTTGAAATTTTGATGACTGCCAAAAATAAGAAAAAGAAAAGAGAGTAGTTTAACAGTGGAATAGGAATGACAGATATTTGAAATACGATTTAGTTCACTGCATAGGACTTTGGAACTTGTTAAAAACGAGAAAAAGAATAACTGCACTTTGCCTCAGAAAAAAAATCAGTGTGGTGTATGCTTATGCTTGTAACATGCATAGTGCAACGAGAATATTGGCTACAACTATTTAGATTCTTATTCGTAACATTTCAAAGTAGAGCATTTAGAGAGACAAGTAGACGATAACAAGGAACTATACGAGATTAGGATGTCTGGTTAGCTGGTGCTTCTTCAGGTATGGGGGACATAAATCGACAGCTTCATGAGGCAGTATTGAGGGGTAAAATAAAAAATGTAAAAGAGATGCTAAATCAGGGTTCTAACATAAACCAGACAGACCAAGATGGAAAGACACCCTTACACATAGCAGTCCAGTATGGCCATGACAATTTGGTTGAGTATCTCATGAACCAAGGTGCCGATGTGGAGAAGGCGACTCCAGATGGACAAACACCCTTACATCTGGCTGCATCACTCGGACGTCTTAAAGCAACAAAAGATATACTAATTCATGGAGCAAATATGGACAAAGAAGACAAGGACGGCTACTCTGCATTATACAGCGCTGTAAGGAATGGTCATGTTGGTGTAGTACGGCATTTTATAGGTGAAGGGGCAAAAGTGAATCAGAGCAATACTAAATGCTGGACGGCGTTACAACTTGCTGCTCAGAATGGTCATCGTGACGTTACCAAATATCTCATCAGTCAAGGAGCTGAGTTAATTGATGGAGTAAATGGTGGTAGGAATGCATTACAACTTGCTGCTCAGAATGGTCATCTTGATGTCACCAAATATCTCATCGGCCAAGGAGCTGAGGTGAATGAGAATGGCAATGATGGTTGGACTGCATTGCACATTGCTGCTCACGAGGGTCATCCCAATGTCACCAAATATCTTATCAGGCAAGGAGCTCAGGTAAATAAGGGAGATAATAATGATGGTAGGACTGCATTACAGCTTGCTGCTCGGAATGGTCATCTTGATGTCACCAAATATTTGATCAGTCAAGAGGCTGAGGTTAATAAGGGTAGTAATGACGGTTGGACTGCATTACAACTTGCTGCTCAGAATGGTCATCTTGATGTCACCAAATATTTGATCAGTCAAGAGGCTAAGGTTAATAAGGGTAGTAATGATGGTAGAACTGCGTTACAAGTTGCTGCTCACGAGGGCCATCTTGATGTCACCAAATATCTGATCAGCCAAGGAGCTGAGGTGAATAAGAGAGATAACGGTGGTCAAACTGCATTACACCGTGCCGCTCAGGAGGGTCATCTTGATGTCACCAAATATCTGATCAGTCAAGAGGCCCAGGTGAATATGGGAGACAACCACGGTAGGACTGCTTTATTCAGTGCTGCTCAGAATGGTCAACTTGATGTTACCAAATATCTTATCAGTCAAGGAGCTGAGGTGAATAATGGAAATAATGTAGGTGTGACTGCATTACACCTTGCTGCTCAGAATGGTCATCTTGATGTCACTAAATATCTGATCAGTAAAGGAGCCGAGGTGAACAAGAGAGATAAAAATGGTCGGACTGCATTACACCGTGCCGCTCAGAAGAGTCATCTTGATGTCACCAGGTATCTCATTAGCGAAGGAGCTCAGGTGAATATGGGAGATAATCAACGTGACACTGCATTATTCAGTGCTGCTCAGAATGGTCGTCTAGATGTCACTAAATATCTGATCAGTCAAGGAGCCGAGGTGAACAACGGTAATGATGGAGGTTCGACCGCCTTATTTAGCGCTGCTCAGAATGGTCATCTTGATGTCACCAAATATCTGATCAGTCAAGGAGCTGAGGTGAACAAGGGTAATGATGGAGGTTGGACTGCCTTATTCAGCGCTGCTCAGAATGGTCACCTTACTGTTACCAACTATCTGATCAGTCAAGGAGCTGAGGTAAATAAGAGAGACGATGAAGGTTGGACTGCATTACACAGTGCTGCTTTCGTTGGACATCTTGATGTTACAGATTGTCTTATCAGTCAAGGAGCTAAGGTGATTGAGAAAGATACTGTCGGTAGGATTGCATTACATCTTGCTGCTCAGGAGGGCCATCTTGATGTTATCAAATATCTGATCAGTCGAGAAGCTGACGTCGATACGGTAGAAAGTGGCGTTGTGATTGCATTTCAACTTGCTGCTCAGAATGGTCATCTTGATGTTATCAAATATCTGATCAGTCAAGGAGCTCATGTGAATACGGGAAATAATGAGGGTGTGACTGCATTACATCGTGCCGCTCAGGAGGGTCATCTTAATGTTACCAAATTCCTGATCAGTCAAGAGGCTCAGGTGAATATAGGAGACGATCATGGTAGAACTGCTTTATTCAATGCTGCTCAGAGTGGTCATCTTGATGTCACCAAATATCTCATTAGCGAAGGAGCAGATGTGAACAAGGGGGATTGTGAGGGTTCGACTGCATTATTCGTGGCTGCTCAAAATGGTCATCTCGATGTCACTAAATTTCTCATCAGTCAAGGAGCTGGGGTGATTAAGGAAGATACTGTTTGTCGGGTTGCATTACATGGTGCTGCTCAGAATGGTCATCTTGATGTCACTAAATATCTCATTAGTCAAGGAGCTGAGGTTAATAAGAGAGATAATGAAGGTTGGACGGCATTACACAGTGCTTCTTTCCATGGTCATCTTGATATCACCAAATATCTAATCAGGCAAAGAGCTGAGGTAAATAAGGAAGATAATGACGGGTGGATTGCATTACACGTTGCTGCCCAGGAGGGTCATCTTGACGTTACCAAATATCTCATCAGTCAAGGAGCCGAGGTGAACAACGGTAATGATGGAGGTTCGACCGCCTTATTTAGCGCTGCTCAGAATGGTCATCTTGATGTCACTAAATATCTGATCAGTCAAGGAGCTCAGGTCGATACAGGAAATAATGCGGGTGTGACTGCATTACACCGTGCCGCTCAGGAGGGTCATCTTGATGTCACCAAATATCTGATCAGTCAAGGAGCTGAGGTGAACAAGGGTAATGATGGAGGTTGGAGTGCCTTATTCAGCGCTGCTCAGAATGGTCACCTTACTGTTACCAACTATCTGATCAGTCAAGGAGCTGAGGTAAATAAGAGAGACGATGAAGGTTGGACTGCATTACACAGTGCTGCTTTCGTTGGACATCTTGATGTTACAGATTGTCTTATCAGTCAAGGAGCTAAGGTGATTGAGAAAGATACTGTCGGTAGGATTGCATTACATCTTGCTGCTCAGGAGGGCCATCTTGATGTTATCAAATATCTGATCAGTCGAGAAGCTGACGTCGATACGGTAGAAAGTGGCGTTGTGATTGCATTTCAACTTGCTGCTCAGAATGGTCATCTTGATGTTATCAAATATCTGATCAGTCAAGGAGCTCATGTGAATACGGGAAATAATGAGGGTGTGACTGCATTACATCGTGCCGCTCAGGAGGGTCATCTTAATGTTACCAAATTCCTGATCAGTCAAGAGGCTCAGGTGAATATAGGAGACGATCATGGTAGAACTGCTTTATTCAATGCTACTCAGAGTGGTCATCTTGATGTCACCAAATATCTCATTAGCGAAGGAGCAGATGTGAACAAGGGGGATTGTGAGGGTTCGACTGCATTATTCGTGGCTGCTCAAAATGGTCATCTCGATGTCACTAAATTTCTCATCAGTCAAGGAGCTGGGGTGATTAAGGAAGATACTGTTTGTCGGGTTGCATTACATGGTGCTGCTCAGAATGGTCATCTTGATGTCACTAAATATCTCATTAGTCAAGGAGCTGAGGTTAATAAGAGAGATAATGAAGGTTGGACGGCATTACAAAGTGCTTCTTTCCATGGTCATCTTGATATCACCAAATATCTAATCAGGCAAAGAGCTGAGGTAAATAAGGAAGATAATGACGGGTGGATTGCATTACACGTTGCTGCCCAGGAGGGTCATCTTGACGTCACCAAATATCTTATCAGTCAAGGAGCTGATGTGAATAATGGAAATAATGTAGGTGTGACTGCATTACACCTTGCTGTTCAGGAGGGTTATCTAGATGTAACCAAAAACCTGATCAGTCAAGGAGCTGAGGTGAATAATGGAAATAATGTAGGTGTGACTGCATTACACCTTGCTGCTCAGAATGGTCATCTTGATGTCACCAAATATCTCATTAGCGAAGGAGCAGAGGTAAACAGGGGAACTTGTGAGGGTTGGACTGCATTAGACATTGCTGCTCAAAATGTCCATATTGATGTCACTAAATATCTGATCAGTAAAGGAGCCGAGGTGAACAAGAGAGATAAAAATGGTCGGACTGCATTACACCGTGCCGCTCAGAAGAGTGATCTTGATGTCACCAGGTATCTCATTAGCGAAGGAGCTCAGGTGAATATGGGAGATAATCAACGTGACACTGTATTATTCAGTGCTGCTCAGAATGGTCGTCTAGATGTCACTAAATATCTGATCAGTCAAGGAGCCGAGGTGAACAACGGTAATGTTGGAGGTTCGACCGCCTTATTTAGCGCTGCTCAGAATGGTCATCTTGATGTCACTAAATATCTAATCAGTCAAGGAGCTCAGGTCGATACAGGAAATAATGCGGGTGTGACTGCATTACACCGTGCCGCTCAGGAGGGTCATCTTGATGTCACCAAATATCTGATCAGTCAAGGAGCTGAGGTGAACAAGGGTAATGATGGAGGTTGGACTGCCTTATTCAGCGCTGCTCAGAATGGTCACCTTACTGTTACCAACTATCTGATCAATCAAGGAGCTGAGGTAAATAAGAGAGACGATGAAGGTTGGACTGCATTACACAGTGCTGCTTTCGTTGGACATCTTGATGTTACAGATTGTCTTATCAGTCAAGGAGCTAAGGTGATTGAGAAAGATACTGTCGGTAGGATTGCTTTACATCTTGCTGCTCAGGAGGGCCATCTTGATGTCACCAAATATCTGATCAGTCGAGAAGCTGACGTTGATACGGCAGAAAGTGGCGTTGTGACTGCATTTCCACTTGCTGCTCAGAATGGTCATCTTGATGTTATCAAATATCTGATCAGTCAAGGAGCTCATGTGAATACGGGAAATAATGAGGGTGTGACTGCATTACATCGTGCCGCTCAGGAGGGTCATCTTAATGTTACCAAATTCCTGATCAGTCAAGAGGCTCAGGTGAATATAGGAGACGATCATGGTAGAACTGCTTTATTCAATGCTGCTCAGAGTGGTCATCTTGATGTCACCAAATATCTCATTAGCGAAGGAGCAGATGTGAACAAGGGGGATTGTGAGGGTTCGACTGCATTATTCGTGGCTGCTCAAAATGGTCATCTCGATGTCACTAAATTTCTCATCAGTCAAGGAGCTGGGTTGATTAAGGAAGATACTGTTTGTCGGGTTGCATTACATGGTGCTGCTCAGAATGGTCATCTTGATGTCACTAAATATCTCATTAGCCAAGGAGCTGAGGTTAATAAGAGAGATAATGAAGGTTGGACGGCATTACACAGTGCTTCTTTCCATGGTCATCTTGATATCACCAAATATCTAATCAGGCAAAGAGCTGAGGTAAATAAGGAAGATAATGACGGGTGGATTGCATTACACGTTGCTGCCCAGGAGGGTCATCTTGACGTTACCAAATATCTTATCAGTCAAGGAGCTGAGGTGAATAAGGGAGAAAGTGACGTTAGGACTGCATTGCACCTTGCAGCTCAGAATGGTCATTTTGCTGTCACCAAATATCTGATCAGTCAAGGAGCTGAGGTGAATAAAGGTTATTATGACGGTATGACTGCAATATACAGTGCTGCTCAGAATGGTCATCTTGATGTCACTAAATATCTGATCAGTCAAGGAGCTGAGGTCAATAAGAGAGATAAGGGCGGTAGGACTGCATTATCCAGTGCTGCTCAGAATGGTCATCTTGATGTCACCAAATATCTGGTCAGTCAAGAGGCTCAGGTGAATATGGGAGACAATCACGGTAGGACTGCATTATTCAGTGCTGCTCAGAATGGTCATCTTGATGTCACTAAATATCTCATCAGCCAAGGAGCTGAGGTGAATAAGGGAGAAAAAGACGGTTGGACTGCATTACAGTTTGCTGCTCACGAGGGTCATCTTGATGTCACCAAATATCTCATCAGTCACGGAGCTGAGGTAAATAAGAGAGACAATGAAGGTTGGACTGCATCACACATTGCTGCTCAGGCGGACCATCTTGATGTCACCAAATATCTTATCAGTCTAAAAGCTAAGGTTAATACGGCAGAAAGTGGCGTTGTGACTACATTACAACTTGCAGCTCAGAATGGTAATCTTGATGTTATCAAATATCTGATTAGTCAAGGAGCTCAGGTGAATACAGTAAATAATGCGGGTGTCACTGCATTACACCGTGCCGCTCAGGAGGGTCATCTTGATGTCACCAAATATCTGATCAGTGAAGGAGCTGAGGTGAACAAGGCTAATGATGGAGGTTGGACTGCCTTATTTAGCGCTGCTCAGAATGGTCACCTTACTGTTACCAACTATCTGATCAGTCAAGGAGCTGAGGTAAATCAGAGAGATAATGAAGGTTGGACTGCATTACACAGTGCTGCTTTCGTTGGTCATCTTGATGTTACCGATTGTCTTATCAGTCAAGGAGCTAAGGTGATTGAGAAAGATACTGTCGGTAGGATTGCATTACACCTTGCTGCTCAGGAGGGCCATCTTGATGTCACCAAATATCTGATCAGTCGAGAAGCTGACGTTGATACGACAGAAAGTGGCGTTGTGACTGCATTACAACTTGCTGCTCAGAATGGTCACATTCATGTTATCAAATATCTGATCAGTCAAGGAGCTCAGGTGAATACGGGGAATAATGCGGGTGTGACTGCATTACACCGTGCCGCTCAGGAGGGTCATCTTAATGTTACCAAATTCCTGATCAGTCAAGAGGCTCAGGTGAATATGGGAGACGATCACGGTAGAACTGCTTTATTCAATGCTGCTCAGAGTGGTCATCTTGATGTCACCAATTATCTCATTAGCGAAGGAGCAGAGGTAAACAGGGGAAATTGTGAGGGTTCGACTGCATTATTTGGTGCTTCCAAGAATGGTCATCTCGATGTTACCAAATTTCTCATCAGTCACGGAGCTGAGGTAAATAAGAGAGACAATGAAGGTTGGACTGCATCACACAGTGCTGCTCAAGGGGACCATCTTGATGTCACCAAATATCTTATCAGTCTTAAAGCTGAGGTTAATACGGCAGAAAGTGGCGTTGTGACTACATTACAACTTGCAGCTCAGAATGGTAATCTTGATGTTATCAAATATCTGATTAGTCAAGGAGCTCAGGTGAATACAGTAAATAATGCGGGTGTCACTGCATTACACCGCGCTGCTCAGGAGGGTCATCTTGATGTCACCAAATATCTGATCAGTGAAGGAGCTGAGGTGAACAAGGCTAATGATGGAGGTTGGACTGCCTTATTTAGCGCTGCTCAGAATGGTCACCTTACTGTTACCAACTATCTGATCAGTCAAGGAGCTGAGGTAAATCAGAGAGACAATGAAGGTTGGACTGCATTACACAGTGCTGCTTTCGTTGGTCATCTTGATGTTACCGATTGTCTTATCAGTCAAGGAGCTAAGGTGATTGAGAAAGATACTGTCGGTAGGATTGCATTACACCTTGCTGCTCAGGAGGGCCATCTTGATGTCACCAAATATCTGATCAGTCGAGAAGCTGACGTTGATACGGCAGAAAGTGGCGTTGTGACTGCATTACATCTTGCTGCTCAGAATGGTCATCTTGATGTTATCAAATATCTGATCAGTCAAGGAGCTCAGGTGAATACGGGAAATAATGAGGGTGTGACTGCATTACATCGTGCCGCTCAGGAGGGTCATCTTGATGTCACCAAATATCTCATCAGTCAAGGAGGCGAAGTGAATAAGAGTAATAATGGAGGTTGGACTGCACTATTTAGCGCTTCTCAGAATGGTCATCTTGATATCACCAAGTATCTCATCATTCAAGGAGCTGAGATTAGTAAGGAAGATACCATTGGTCGGGTTTCATTACACGATGCTGCTCAGAATGGTCATCTTGATGTCACTCGATATCTGATCGATAAAGGAGCCGAGGTGAATAAGGGCAATAATGAAGGTTGGACTGCACTATTTAGCGCTGCTCAGAATGGTCATCTTGATATCACCAAGTATCTCATCAGTCAAGGAGCTGAGGTTAATAAGAGAGATAATGAAGGTTGGACGGCATTACACAGTGCTTCTTTCCATGGTCATCTTGATATCACCAAATATCTAATCAGCCAAAGAGCTGAGGTAAATAAGGGAGATAATGACGGGTGGATTGCATTACACGTTGCTGCCCAGGAGGGTCATCTTGACGTTACCAAATATCTTATCAGTCAAGGAGCTGAGGTGAATAAGGGAGAAAGTGACGTTAGGTCTGCATTGCACCTTGCAGCTCAGAATGGTCATTTTGCTGTCACCAAATATCTGATCAGTCAAGGAGCTGAGGTGAATAAAGGTTATTATGACGGTATGACTGCAATATACAGTGCTGCTCAGAATGGTCATCTTGATGTCACTAAATATCTGATCAGTCAAGGAGCTGAGGTCAATAAGAGAGATAAGGGCGGTAGGACTGCATTATCCAGTGCTGCTCAGAATGGTCATCTTGATGTCACCAAATATCTGGTCAGTCAAGAGGCTCAGGTGAATATGGGAGACAATCACGGTAGGACTGCATTATTCAGTGCTGCTCAGAATGGTCATCTTGATGTCACTAAATATCTCATCAGCCAAGGAGCTGAGGTGAATAAGGGAGAAAAAGACGGTTGGACTGCATTACAGTTTGCTGCTCACGAGGGTCATCTTGATGTCACCAAATATCTCGTCACTGAAGGAGCTGATGTGAATCAGTGTAATAACGAAGGTTGGACTGCGTTACCTAGTGCTGCCAAGAATGGTCACCTTGATGTAACCAAATCTCTCATCAGCCTAGGAGCCGACGTGAATAAGGGAGATAATGACGGTTGGACTGCATTACACAGTGTTGCTTTCAATGGTCATATTGATGTCACCAAATATCTGATCAGTCGAGGAGCTCAGGTGAATAAGGGTAATAACGACGGTTCGACGCCTTTACACCATGCTGTTAAGAATGGTCACCTTGATGTCATTAAAGTCCTTCTAGCAGGAGGAGCACGTGTTGACACTGAAGACAATGACGGGCACACACCTCTACAAATGTCTTTATTCCTCGGGTACCAGAGCATCGCTGATCTATTCATCGACCGTGCAAAATCCAAGGTAAACATATTCATAAAAAAAACACTTCATGTCGAATTAATCTACCTTTTCAATACATATGAATGTAGAACAACAAGTACTGAAATTCGAATAAGTGAATATTAGGCATAGGTTACCTATCATGATTTGTTTTTATAGACGTGACCAGCTTGATTTTGTATCACATATTATAACCATGCATAATTATAACACTAGACAAGTTACAATGTTTGCTTAAAACGTATTCGAATCGTTGGAATTAATTGATCGCCTGGCAGTACTTTTGTTCACAGAAATTTGGCTTTCCTAGCGTTTTCTAAAATTATTTCTCTTTTTCCTTTTAATGCCGCGTATTTTCTTATATCCAACTCGAGCAGAATGATTTAACGGATATCCATCTTGCCATACAACACGGTCATACCTCTACCATTGAAAAGTTAGTTTCTGAGGGAGCTGATCTCCATATCCTGTCAACTGACGGCCAGACTTGTCTTCACAAAGCCATCAAACTCTGCTATAAGGGCGTGAACATTGTGCAAAACACTGACACACTAAGAAAGGTTAGTCATACCCCAGTAACACCAACGAGATCGACACCAGACCAACGGGATTCTGAACAAGAAATTAGATTACGGTCAAATATTGGTCAGTTTTGGAGTCTACACGGAGTCGTTATGTCGGTGTGACTGCCATATACTACTCCTCTATAGTAAATCCTAGAGAATCTGATAACCGTGATTGGCCCAAGAAAATTTGTATTTTGGTGTGTGGGCGCGCGTTCGTGTGTGTGTGTGTTGGTGTGGGGGTGATTTACAACGTGAATGGGGATGACCACAAATGTGAATCCAGGAGGCAGTGTAAAACTATGCTTTTGGTGCTCATCAGCTCTGATTATTGATGAACGATACTGAAAAAAGTTATATGTTTGTATGCTTCAGATCTCTGATGAGTATTACAAGGGCGAACTATCTCCTGAGAGGGCCTTAGTGTTTTATCTCCTAGAGAATGGAGCCAAGTTAGATGTGGAGGATGAGACAGGCAACCTCCCAATCCAGTATGCCAAGGACGAAGTAGTCAAACAGATGATTTTCTCGAGGTGATTCTTCCAAGTCTTAAAGCCCCACTGCACTTCTTATAGCTACGTGCGCCCTCTATACAGCCAACAATGCCTAAGCGGTACCCGTTGATCTCCCATGATGCTCTTTTTCTTATGTTAATTGAGAGCTGATTTGATGAGATAACCACCTGCCAGTTACCTTGCAGGGAGGTCTAATCCTTCCATGCCAAATTATTGCAGAGGGGCCTTAAGGGTTCTATGTCCCCGTCAGTCGTTAGGCAAAAGATTGATCAGAGATCTTACTTTTTGTTAGATTTGATAGCGGAATTACATTTGTTTGGAATTGCTTTGATGCAAATGATAATAGTTTATTACACAGTAAATGCGTTAGTGGGGCCAAAGACCGGTTTACTAACATATTCAAATGTTAAACAAACTTTTCTTTAGCAAAGGTTGTTCTTGAGGACCTGAGAGTTTGCCCGAGACTTGCCCGACATATCAAAAAAGTAATGTATACAGACTGGATATCAAGTATTGTAATGCATTCATTAATAACATATTAATGAAATAACTCGTTACTAGGGCCCCAGGAAAGAAACATCCATAAATATGAATATGTTCGCCAACCGGTCTATTAAATTGTGCGTATCATGTGACAATTGTTAACCATAATTTGTTCTTGGATTCTAAGTCAGGCTTACAAGGTCGACCATTTAATGGTGGTGTTCCTTCTACTCGAATAGACAATATACATTTCAATCACGTTTGCTTAAAACAAATTGTATAGCTGTAGTTCTTAAATGTTCGGATTGTTGTGTGATATGTATTTAACGGCATTATCAGGAACAAAGGCATGTATTATTTTCTTATTTTTATACTTAATGCTAAGATTAGAGCCTCATTTGTTTTAACTAATTGGCATCGATTAATGTCTGTCGAAATTGTATAGAAATGACATTACCATTTATTTACGTATGATTAATTTCAGATTATCTTCTTTAGAGGAGATCCAGTCTAATCGAGGTAATAACATCCTTCTCAGCGTAAATGCTAAACAAGTACTTCTTTTTTCCCCTTCTTATTCATTAAGTCTATTGATGATTATAAGGCGTGTATGTAGGTCTTCCATTCCGAATAACAAGAATTTAATAATTCAATTTATGTGTCATTTACTCATTCCCACAAACAACTCACCCACTTTTCCCTTTCGAACACTACATTCAATTCATGCATGTCAAAACCACCTATCAGGTTTGCATCAGTGGTCCAAAAACGAGCAATAAATGGTGCGTGGGCCCTTTATGAAAAATTAGGAAAACAGATACAACTAGAAACAGAAGTGTACAATACATTACTAATTTATCATTGGCCCTAATTGAAATATTACACGCCAGCAATGAATATCAGATTTTTGGTAATTGACATATCAATTATTTTTGTGGACACGATTGAAATGAGAACTATATTAATTTGTTTTTGGTTTTTCATTCCAATTGCTATCCCAAAGTGCATATCAATTTACTTTGTTGTTTATATATGTTCTTATTATCTTTTAATTTCTTATGGTTGAAATAAACAACAGATACACAACCATCGAAACCTGCCATCGTCTCGGTTCAAGTTGAGAAGAATACCAGTCAGGAAATAGAACTAGAAGAACATGGCGTATCGATAGTAATTCCTCTGGATGCTGTTCATCAGAATGACCCGTGCAAGATCACCATGACCCTCTTAAGAGACCCTCCCAGTGTTGACATCCAAGATGATGAATCAGTGGCCTGCTACGGGATCAGATGTGATCCTCCAAACATGATCTTCCGCCGACCTGTGAAGATCAGGATACCACACTCTACCATTGCCATCAACCCTGACCAAGTGAAGCCAGACATCGTTTGCCATGTATGGGATGGAGTAAATGGTAAGTCCATCCGGTCAGATTCATTAAATGACCCGCTTTAATTGATGGAGTAAAAGGAAATCGATGCCCTGAGATGAATTTCCAGTTAACCAAGCATATAACTTCCGGGGCAACTCTTGGGAGGCGCAATATGGTGCAGGGGTGGAGATTGGTCTCATTACCGGGAGGTCTTGAGTTCGAAACAAGGTCGATGTGCTAATTCCCTTTGGTTTAACATTAATTATCAAGTTCTTCGGTGAGGACTTAAAGCTTCCTGTATCATTGTTGCTTTTAAACAGGTATACTGTTTTGGGGGCAGTCGGTTAAAGAAAAATTTAAACAAAATAATTATTTAAAATATTAATTTTTAGTACACGATGCTATTTTATGTTTTACGTTTCCTTTGCAGGTAATATAAATTAGAACAGATTATACGCACACTAAAACTTAACTCTTTAATCCTGAATTCAGATGGTATTAAAATGCTTTCTAAGTAATCTCAGGGTTGTAGTTCCAGTTCTAGGTATCGTCATCATCACAGCGCCATAACGTCTTGAGGAACAATATATAACTCCCACTTTTCTGTTGAAATGTTCAATGTAGGGAAACGGGTGAAAGGGGAGGTTTAGTGCTTGTTAGGATGGCTTTTTTTCGATTAGTAATTATTCTCATCGAGGACTCCATTACTGATAGAAATACTTGAGTTAATTTTATTGAGGTGTTAGGTGTAACAGTTTAAAGGACGAATCGGCTCTATTGCTGAATAACACTCCTTAAAACAAACGCATTTTCTATTGTAACTCACTGACAATAGATCTACCAAGAACATCAAGAATGAGTTCATCCATATCACCATACAAACCACCACACTGCAGACTGTACGAGAGATACCTGGAGCTGTACATTGGTCACTGTGCTGATTGGTGGGTCCTTATTCCTCTTGAACAGAAGGTGACCCGACACCAACTTATGTGCTCTCCGTACATTCCAGAAACCGTAGAAAGAGGCAAAGAGATTGAAGTTCATCTTCACGTGCATGCCGATATTCCTGGCATGGATGCGGTTAGTACTGCTATACATTAGTAAATTGTTAATTTGCAGTTCTGTTAAAATTGTCAACTACTGCTATTTTCAACTAGTAGCATACTTCCGGAAGATTATAGTTTGTTTGTTTCCGACTTTCTAGGGTTATTATGTGTAAGGCATTGCAGCTTGCTTATACCAGACTTGACGGGATTTTCTAGAAGTGTAATTAAAATTGCTGTACGCCGTTAAAAATATTTTTCATTAAAATTTAATCTAGCATGGCCTGTATACCAAAGCCTATACAATCCTAGTAACAAGCTGAATTTTCTCGGATAGTACCATAATAAGGTACGCAATGACTTTATCATGCCCTCAAGAACATCCATCAGTGACCCATGTTTTTTTTTTAGAAATGCTATCTGAGAAAAGTCGTGGGAACTCCCAATTTTCACCAATCGATGTTTTTAAATGGAATCATGATTATGACTGTGAAAATAATGTTGTTTAGTGAACCCCGCAGAACCCGAGAAACTTCCCGATTCATTAGGCCCATGTTTTACTCAATTGCTGATCCCCTTGCTTTGAAATAGGAAGTTTCACATGAGGAGAAGCAACAGTCGTACCGCAAGGCTCATCCTTCGGTCCCATTCAGCGTCATACATACATCAGGCGACGTCAAGGTGGTACGTGATTCTTATGAGAGGAAGATGGCAGAAACTAAGGTAAGAAGATAAGTTTTGTCCTTAAAGAGGAAGTCCACCATGAAATGAAGTTCAATTTAATGGAAGCAGAAAAATTAAAAGAACATGCCAGTGAAAGTTGAGCAAAATCCGCCTCAAAATCAATAAAGTTATGACTATTTGAATTTACGAGCAATCGTACACAAATTGTCAACTATGTGACGTATCTTGCGAGATCCCTTTTTATTTGCTCTGTATTTAACAAACATCAGAACTTTCTATTTTCCTTTAGTATATAAGATTTCAATCATATATGCACCTTAAATACTATGACTTTAATGTAAACATAATCATTTGTTTAGTCATATGTCTCCATTATCATAACTCATTTATCATGAAATAATATCTTTCTAGATGTAATAAACTTCACCTCGGCAAAATACAATACTGCAACCCTAGTTCACTTGTATGTATTACTTCCTATTCTTATTTTGCCTAAACCAAGACAAATTGTCATACTCTTAATTTATAATACTCTGTGGGTCTTTCCGCACTTGTACAACTGAATAAACAATTGTTTCTTCATCTTATATGAACTGAATAAATTGTGATTAATGTAGAAGTCTACAAGCCTAACTCCATAATCACAACCTTGACATAACCTTGACATAACAAATCAAATCATGCACTACACCAATGTTTCTAGTGCTAGTAGTAATTTTGTCTCCCTTTTGTGGAGAGCATTGTGGGGAGCATGCACACTCCGAGTCAAATAATCTAACTGAGCTACAAAACTCTTTACTTTAAAAGCTAAATAATACCTAAACGTAAATGCCCATACGCCCGATTCATTAGCTACGTTCAGACGGAGGAAAGTTACCCTAGGGTAAAGGTCGTGTTAAGAGCTGGTCGATGTGAATATTGGGGTAAGGGGGAGGGGTGTATGACAGGCCAAGCATCCCACTATCAGTACAACTATACAACTACACGACTATACGTCTATCCAGCCGGCCAATCAGAACGCAGGAAACTGTACATCTATACTTCTATACCAGTCGAGTATTCAGAGGGGCACGTGCCCCCCCCCCGGGTAGAAATGAGGGAAAGGGAGAAGGGGAAAAGAAAAAGGAAGAAAAGGAGAAAGAGGAGGGGGAAAGAAAGAGGGGAAAGGGGGGAGAAAGAAAAGGGAAGAGAGAGAAAGAAGAAGAAAAGAGGGAGGAGAGAAGAGGGAAGGGGAGAAAAAGGAGGGGGAAAGGAAGAAAGGGGAAGAGAGAGAGGAGAGAAAAGCCGGAAATGGAAGAAAAGGGGAAAGACGGAGAAGGGAAAAGGGGAAAAGGAGAATAATGAGAAGGGCAAAGAAAGAAAGGGGGATGATATTATATCATTCGGCAGAAATCGTAATAGTATCTTATAAACTACCTCTAGGCCCAATTTGGTGCTTTTGGAAGAATCTGCACCAAACAACCCTTATATAGCCCTAATAGCCCCGTCTAACAGTGAAAATGGTGTTTTTATATCAAAGCGAAATTTTACGATCAAAATTGCTTCCCTTGGTCAATTTTGCCAATTTTCTCCGAGAAAGAACGCATTGTAGTCTTCGATATGAATTGGATATATGCAGTTGTGGTGTTAAAGGCCACACATGGTGCAATATCAATATTGGAGCCAACACGGACAGACAGCGATGGGTTCAAGCTTGGTGGTCTCCAAATTCCTACGGTCTCCAATTCCCTACACCTACCCTAATCATAATTAAGATCACCTAATGATATGAGGTCCTTATTTTCCTGTGATACCTTTTCTAATACATCCACGAGATTATTAAAATGTACATCAGCATTTGGTGGTCTATACAAGACATCCATACTCGTTCATGATTAAAGGACATTTCGAACCAAATACCTTCCAATGAATTACTTATCAAGTCATGTCGCAATGTGAATGGAATAGATTTTAAGAAATAAACACAAATACCACCACCTCGAGTCTTGTTCTTAGTCGTTGGTCTATCCGTGCGAATTATAACATAATTGTCTATAAAAAATATCATTAGCATTTATCAAATCATGTTGTCTCTGAAATGCATACACAGTAAAAACGCTGCTTAAAAAGTGATGTTCACTTTAACAGTTGTACACTTTCTTAAACAACAGTTGAACAAATTGTAAACAATGTTGCTCGAAACGAAAGTAATTTTGTTAAACATTCGCTGTTTAAAATTTAATGACTGCTATATTTACTATACGAGAGCTTTTAGACAGTGTGTTTTACATATGACGTCATGTGTCACGTGCCAGTAAAGTGCGAGTTGGCTGAAAGCTTTATTTCACATCATGGCCGACCAAGCTACCGACGCACTTTAAGTGACTGGGGATTCAATGGCTTAATTGAAATCACTTTTCTATTTACCAATTTGTTTTTTGTTTACCAATAAGTTTTCAACTTATAGCGTAAGTTCACAGTTAAAATGTTCAGTATAACGCAAATGACAGAATATAGGTAGACTTAAAATCGTCGTGTCATGCAGTGCGGCACTGATCGCGCACTCGGTTATAACGTGTGCTAAATTCCTTGCCATAGAGATTGCATGCATCCCTATACAGTATATGCAGTTTATACGTGCGTGCATGCGCGCTCATGCAAAATGGGCACATTTTACACTAATTCATCAATTGCAGAATTACCCTACCATATTGTTAGTCTACCTATAGAAATCCAGAAGTAGTGGTGCACTTATTCAGAGTATCAAACCAAAATTATACCCCATTATACAACCCTTTTTTTGTAAACAACCCTCACTGAACAACAGCTCCTTTTTAAACAACTTTCTTTAAACAACCCAGTTGGTTTAAACAACCCCCACTGAACTACAGCTCCTTTTTAAACAACCGTCTTTAAACAACACCGGTTGTTTAAATTGTGATTTTAAACAAGTTGTTCAAAATGTTGATCAACTAAGTGTTTCAACTTTAAACAACTCGAGATGCTTAACATTTTAAATAACTCTCATACCAGGTCACCCGTTAATCCGAGGTTGTTTAAACTTTTAAACAACATGTTTACACACATTTTAAAAGTGTAGAACATCAAATGTTGTTTTCAAAAGTAATAATCGAATCTCTTCTACTTTATCTAATAAACTCCAAACATTTAAATGCCCGACTTTAAGGTCATTGTGTTTAGATAATTTAAAGTTGCCTTTGGAATATTCATTACTATATTTATGATTGGTAGTAAGATGAACATTGTCAGAAACATCATTAGTAATTATGGAATCACCTTTCTCCTCTTCAGCAGTTACAGAGACCATGATGTAATGTGGTGCTCCCTTAAAAGCCGCTTTCTTTGAGCAAACGGATACAGAGCATAAAGGGGAAAATCACATAAAATCGCAAACACGGACACGGAACCCATTTTCTTGTTACTTTGGGGGATTTCTTCAAGAAAGAAAAAAATAGGTTGTCTGTTTCTTAACACTCCAACTTTCTCGTCCTTTAGCTGCTCTCCCTAAAGGAAATTCACAACCGAATGAGACATAATGTAGTCTTCAACGTGCCACCGAGTGAGGACGTAACTCCATATGATGTGGTAACCTTCACACTTACACAATCTGGGAACCAAGAGAAGTCTCGATCAATGATGGCATTCGTCATTAGATACGAAGGTTGGTCTACAATATGTAACCCATCCAATTATTGCAATAAAGAGAGATTGACTTTTTTTAGACGAGCTGTGATTTTACGTGATATAATAAACTTTATTTTTGTCCACGTCTTTTTTTAATCGGCTAATTTAGTTTTGACAAGTTAATTTCCCTTAACATTCTTAGCTCTGGCTGTTACTTTTATAAACGTGACTTAATAGGAAATCATTATTCGGAAAATTGAACATAATTTTCAGTTTCCTTTAAAGATATACCTGTGCAGGCATATTATTATATTATGTTACTAATTAGCTTTTATGAGAGTTTGTTATGATACACAAATATTTTGATCAATTGGGACATACACACGTTTTAAAATTAATCGGCGGACACACATTTAATCATTTTTATTCATTGTAATCGTTTTTATGTGAAAATTTACTTGGGACAATGACTGTTTTTAAAATAATAATGATTTAAAATTGTCTTAAGGTTTTTACATTTTCTTTTAAAAACTCTCTATCATCAATACATGATTGCAGATCAAATCAAGAGTCCTGAATTCACTTCAGTAATCCGGTAAGTATGTCGTTATCAATATATTCAAATTTTTGAAATAAATGTATGTTAGATAAAGGTGCATAACGAGATTTTGTCCTCTAAGTTCAATTACAATTTCGTTTAAGATATTAATTGAGACAATTATCTAAAGTACAAGGTGTTTACCTTCCTGATGTTGTTTTCCTTTCGTAGGAAATATAAATGGAATTTGGAAGATCATTAACATTTTATAATGCAGCACAATGCAAGAAATGCAAAGTAACTATTAAAGATGGAGATACAGTTACATGTATTTGTTTTACAGTGAAATCGAAGGAGCCTCTGGAAATGATCTCCCTGATAAAGATGTCCAGAAAATCGCTGAAAAGCTTTCGATAGACGACTTTTATGACCTTGGAGTTGCACTTGGCTTCCAAATACAACAACTGGATGCAATAGAGTATAAGAGGCTCAAAGACAGACAAGAGGCCATCTTCGATATTTTGGTATCATGGAAACAGAGACAACCACCCCATCAAAACGTGAAGGAAGTGCTTCTGTCACTCCTGAAGTCAGCAGAAACAGAGGCAGAAAAGACGAACATGACAGGTTGTATCGTACTCATTTAGATTTATCAGCAGATTCTTAACACTCTTAGGAATAACAAACATATGCCTAATTATTAAAAATATATAGTACCTAAGCTGTGTATAGATCTGAACTATAACCTTTGATTTAGTTATACATTGGCCATTGTTGCTATGAGGGAAAAACAGTTAGACGCCAATGGTGATCATAGTCATCGTTAGTGTGGCGCATTATGTTCCTATATAACAACATTCGAATTCGCCCTATAACAAATTAGTTATATTATACTTATGCGAGATGAAGAAAGGATGGGTACAACTTCCACAAAGAAGGCGCGATCTCCGTCTTACTCAAGATGAGCCTTTGTGATACTTATACATTCTTTTAAAGAATTGCAACGCACTATAAATTAAAGCAGAGCATTTTGACTTTAAACAATACAATGAAAAATCCGGAGAAATAAACGAATAAACTGATTTAAAATTATTGGCATATGAGCCGTTATTATAGACATTGAAGACACTGCAATATAAATTAAATAGTTAGAATAAAAATTACGATTATAATTATGGTAATAACTAATTATGATAATAAAAAATAATAACAACAACAATAACAATGAATTACGATATTTTCATATTTATAATGATGATGATAATAATAATAATAGCAATAATAATGATGATAGTAGCAGTAAAAGAAGTCGTAAGAATCATAGAATGCGAAGATATTATTTGTCAAAAAATTCCGTAAGCCAATTATTAAAGATAAATATATTCAAAACAAGGTTTTCAAATATCTAGTATTACAGTTTTTTATTGAAAATTGTGTGATTGTGCTAATTTAACAATATTTAATTTCTTTTTGTACGCAACAATGACGTCCTTCATATTTTGCCACCGTACTTCAGATATTACTCCAACCGGGTAAGATTTCTTTTTGGTCACTAACTATATAACCGTGATAATTAGCTGGTATAATTAAAATCCGAAAAGTTAGCGAAAAAATTAGGTGAGAGCTTGAGCAATATCCGATTGAAAAAGGTAAATAATGTATTTTTTAAATTGTCACCAGTAATACACAAATATGCAACACTGTGAAAATAATATTGAACAAGACATATGACAAACCGTCGGCTGATTTGTTCACAAGACTTAAGACAAACGGTTTGAGTTAAGTCGCATTATGATAATATATAAATGCGTTCATAACTTTCACCTTCTGATTCAATCCTTATGTAGTACATGAGCATCATACAAGGCAAGTCAACAGTGGATGTTCACGTGTGCCCAGATTTCACACTGATTGTAATAAGTGTAGCCCAATTGTTTCTTCTATACTTGAATGGGATAAGCTTCATAATTTGATGAGAACGGCTTCCTCTGTCAATGCATTGAAGAGATTGTTTAAACAAAGTTGTATTTTGTGAATAGCTCAGCCGAACATATACACTTCTTGCATATTCTGTAATATTAACATGATTTATTCACATAATTGCGACTTAATCATTATTTTCCTATTGGCATTACAGTTGAACTAGGTAACTGATATATGATTATTTTTCAAACGAGGATTCGTTTGTGCCACGTATTTTATTGCTGTGGTATATCTTTTTAAATGTACTATGATTTTTTTTTTTTTAACTGTTCTGTATATTAGCGTTATGCTTTTTGATGTAAATATGTTCATAATTAAGCAGGGCCCCATAAAAGACCACTACTTATTGGTGAATGTCCTACCCTGACAAAAGATTAGAAATATATTTTTCAAAAAGATAAAGCCTAACTACTACATTCATGAAGCATATACTTATACTCACCTTTCTATATAGTAAGTTCAACTAAATCGCCAATGAACAGTTACATGCATATTAAAATGGTTTCTTGCGGTAATCTGATTTGTCTTTGCAAATAGAAATTTTGGGAGAAACAAAGGCGATTTGATGGAGGGTTGCAAGGGGTAATAACGTTAAACCTAAAAATTAATCTTCTGTTATATCACTCAAAATAAAGTGACACACATCTGAACTTACATTGACCCTCCTGATAATGAAGATAAATGATATATTAGTAGAATATATACAGTAGAAGTTTTTTAAAACTTGAGCAAATAACGGGGAAAAAATTAAGGTATCCATTCGGACCGCGTGTCAAGCGGATTACGTGTCTCATTGATTTGATTTTCCATGATGCATGGCTTAAGTTGTTTATATACGTTGTGCTGGGCGAAGCAATCGATCTATCTTTCTGCATGACAAAAATTCGATTGACTGCATTACAGTTTCTGTTGAAAAGCAGTTCACTAGCCAGAATTCAAGATAAGCTTTGATTCTAGTATAATGAACATCATTTCTTTTCATTATATTTAGTGAAATTTCTGACCAAGCTTTGCTTAATTTGGCTCGACTTATTAAGTGGACGGACTTCATGGACATTGGCACAAAGCTTGGATTCAGTCGGAATAAGCTTGAGAATATCAAACACAAGACACTGCACAATCGCAAAGATGCTAACATCCAAATGCTCTGCATGTGGAAAGCATTTCAAAAATTCGTTCCTAAAGCGAATGAGACGTTGAAGTGCATTTGGAAATCTGTCTCCTTGGCATCTACGGTTGATACTACAGGTTATAACTCTTCTTCATTAGTAATAAATAAAAGCTCTATGACTTGTATGTAATGCATATTATATAGTTAGTTATTCTAATCAAATGTATAAATGAATAGACATCTTTAATAACTGAACTCTGTCTTGAACGGAATCATACGATTAAAAGTCCAGTGGTAATAACAAATTGTTTTGAAGCTTCAGGCTGACTATGAAGGCTGATAATGTCATTCACAGCAGTCATTTTGTTTAAACTTGTCTCACGAGATAAGACGAGATAAGGCGGAGACATCTCTACATTAAAACATAGGATATAGGTGAACACTGCGTAGTACACAAACAACTTAAAACTAAAGCATTAGCAGCCATGACACACATGCGGTTTAATATTTATATATTTTCTCTCAGACGAAAGCTTGCGTATGATCTCTTCGGCGACTCCTGAGGAAAGAGCCAAACCTAGCGAGCCTATAGAGCCTGAAGACATGGATATCATTACATCAGTTACAGGTAGATAACAGAATAATAACATCATATGATTGTGACAATGATAGCATTTTATACATACCCTCTGTATAACATTATTCCAGTGGACATCGCAAATAATTTATTTATAAAAAAATATTAAACAAAACAATTTTGAGATTAGAAAATTAATCCCCTTCTTAGATGTTTTTTCATCGTTTGATTTTGATGTAGAACGAGATGAAATTAATGATGACCTTGACCAATGTGGGGGTGCACCAAACACAGAAGAGCTTTGCAGCCTAGCTCTATCAGTGAAAATTCTGCCATTAGTATGTTCACTTGGGAAAGCCCTTCGTCTAAATGATGACCTCATTGTTGGATTCATCGATCTACCCAGTTCGTCAGTACTCCATAAGATCGCACGACAGCTCGTAGACAGTTGGTGGAATAGTTTGAAAGAGGAAGAAAAAGAAGATAAGTTTGCTAAGCTTCTCTCTGAGTTTCACATCCAAGATGTCAAAACAGGTTCGTTTTAATTACAAGGCTGAGTTCAATCATAATCGTGTTGATGAGGACATATCATTTTTACCCATTACGAGGACATTTTCAAGATCAAACTTGCGTTCAGTTCTTTTGTTGGCCCTGAGTCAATAGGTTGTTCAGAAGTACAGAAGATTTTTAGTAGGTAAGGATTTGTATTAACATGTATCTACAACGCATGGTCATTAGTTCTGGTTTCTTTACTTGACCTTAAATTCATCAATTTGTAATAGTTTATTCCACCCTTTTGGACGCTGAATACGTCCTTATTCATCACCATCATTATGCTTTTTGCATTAAACTGGATATTTTTCTTCATATTGACATAATTATGTATTCTTTCCAGTGTCCACAGGCCGTGAAGAAATCTCAAAAGCCATTGGATCCAAGACAGACCTACTGGACTTGTGTCAACGCCTAGATGTTAAACCATCTGGCGTCTTGCAGATCATGAGCGAATGTGTTACCTTCCCGCCTCACATGATTGGCCGTTGTACTCTGAAGATGCTTAAAGAATGGGTACAGCAGGGTGGGACTAGGGAGAGGCTTCTGGACGTTGCTCAGGCTTTCCATTTCAACGATGCAGCAGTCAAGATAGCAGAAGGTAATGTAATTTCACAACTTCACTGTGTTTCGTAATATATAAAATTGTGTAGGCTTACTTACAAGTTTTACAGATTCATCATGTAATACTCATACGATTGCCTGACTATTGAAGAAATTAACAGGCATCCCTTCAAAGAAAAATCGGCAGGAGCCTGTGTACTTTTAACTTCAGTATAAGAAAGGGTAATCATGAGCCGCGTTACTAGATAGATAACAACGAAATTGAAAGGAAATATTCCGTTTACCAGTTATCATTTAGAGCTACCTATCACGGTAAACCAACAAATTAGCTACATATTTTCCACTCATACGGGTTTTGTCTATGACTTGTTTACTTCTTATCGTCCTTAGCCATGAAATACCTACCAAGCTATATGCCTTTCATCTCGCATGGCATCATTGATCACAGGGGTGGAGAACTGACCCTCGGTGAACTTGGTATTGTCGTATCTATCCCTGGAGGAGCTATTCCTAAAGGGATGAGATCAGTTGTAACTCTTCGCGTCCTAACTCATGATACTACTGGGCTTCCTGTACGGGAGGGTGAGGTAGTCATTACTCCAGTCATAGAGTGTTCTCTCACTCAAGAACTGATCAAGCCAGCCACGGTGGAATTACCACACTGTATCAATCACCATGAACATAAAGATGACTCTTCCGTTATCTTGTATACAAAAACAGGACCAGGTATAAACAATATGTGTTGTTTTTGTTCTCTTAAAATAAAAAATATAATATCTTCATTTGAAATTTGAATCCTAATAATTTGATAAATGAGGTGAATGACTCATTTCAAATTAATTAAAGATAGTTTTATCGTTATGAGAGTCTATTTTAAGAATGATTAGCTGTTAAAACTGACATAGAATGATATATCAATAATAAAGAGAAATAGGCCTACCGTTATGCCATTTAAATCTACCCGCTGAATACAAAAGATAATCTTGACAAATATCATAACATGAACTTAGTAGGAATAAATTCTTACCCTACTAATAATCAATACTGTTTCCATTTTTGAATCTTTCTTTTTCTTAATTCAAAGTAACTTTCGGTCGTAGGAATCTGACTCCGCACATATCACAAATCTCAAAAGATAAGATCAAGTTTCCTACACGCCATCTTCAAGCCTGGGCTCTGTCATCGACCGATCTTCAAGGACTCCAGTTGAGATGTGTAGTCTTCAAGCCTCTCTTCATGACTCCTGCAGAGAAACCAACTCTACGTGTGTACATACTTCATCCCTATAGATACTATGTAGAGGTATTTACATGATTTATTCCATATCCAGATTTTTCGGGCACCATTTAGTAATAAAATGGGTAAAAGAAGCATATTGGGGCTATTCTTTGATACAGTACACATTGCAGTAATACGTGTGCGAAGGGGTTGGGGGGGGGGGGGGGACTGTATGCTGGATGATGTCATCCACTTAAGTATGTACTGTGTGATTTTGAGTAAGCTGGGACAGTATCTTACTGTGGTACTGGTATGGGGTAGAAGCAAGGATAGAGCATGGCCAGTCATGTATGCCATTCTGCTTTGTGCTCAGCTTTTCCCAAAGTATGGATGTAGCACGTTTCGGAAAGACATCCCTCTTAGTATATACGTATACCTAAAAACCTACCTAACTCAAGTGCATATTGTTAGTGTATTAGCTAGTTATGTGGATATATATATATATAAATCCATATATGTGAAACAAACATTGAGCATAAGTTCGAAGCGAACTCCTCATTAATACTACCGATTTTATGATAGTTTATTAAATACTCTGTTCCTACAATTTACATACTTTTCACATTTTCAGAAATCTGATTGAGCTTTATATGTAAATAAAGGTTATTGTTTTGAACAGGCCTACAATAGTTGACGTTATAATTTGCATGAAATTATATTATTTGTTTGCATTTTTAAAGATTTGAGCTGTATTTGTCATATTCCAGGGTATTACGAGGAAGGAGAAGAGTTCTTATGTACCCTACTGCCAAGTCCTGAAGGAACTCATGTTCTCTATAGAGTCAAAAGCAAGCGACCTGAAGATTTTGTTCGACGACGGGACGAAAAGAAACGAACAAACGGTAAATATGCGTGAATGTTATTCCATAAGGTCTGTCGAAGAATAGTGGTCCACCAAGGAGTTAGAATTTAACTCTTTGGATGTACATTTATACAAGCTGATTTTATATGTTTTTTACAGACCTATATCTCGTTTCCAGACTTACATGTATTTCTGAAAGTGATATCTGGACAAGATCTATTTTAAATGAATGCAACAATCAGGTACCTCAAATTTGCATTTTTTTTTTCTTAAACAGTCACTGAATGTTCAAATATCGGCCTTATTTCAAAATTAGAGGATCTCATAAAATCAAATATATTCCCTCATTCGATCTTTTCTCTCCCTCAAAAAAACATATGCACATGCCAACAATGGGTTGTCATGTTTATTTCATTATCAGTACTAATATCATTATCATTATCATCATAGAATTAGAATTTGTTTTGTTGTTATTATTCTTGCTGTTATTATTATGATTTTTATTAAATTCAAAACAAGATGGCCATCAAGAGTATACTAAGTGGAAAGTGTAGCCCTCTAAAGTTTGAGCTTCAGTTCTCTCCTGAAGAGAAGGGAAAGAAGAACGTCCAGATCGACATCCTACAAGGGTCAGCAACACGAGCAGAAAGACAATACATCATTACAATAGAAGGTAAGCCTATATTATCAGAATGTAGGATATTATGTGTCTTTCACAGTCATGATCAAATGTAGCTACGTACTTCAAAGACCTTACGTTAGTCATTTCAGTAACGAGATACATCAACGACATTACATAAGTCATTTATTGTAACTAGTTACCTCAAGGAACCTACTCAAGTCATTCCTGTAGCCTGTCACTCAAAGGCTCTACATAACTCTATTATTGTAACTAGTAACCTCGAAGATCCTACATTCCGGTTAGACATTTCTATATCATTTACCTTGAATACCCTAGATAAATCATTTATTGTAACTAGTTACCTCAAAGACCGTACATGAGTCATTTCTGTAAATAGTTTCCTCAAAGTCCCTAAATATTTGTATTTATGTAACTCCAATGTATCTCTGTTTTGTCTGCTCATTCAATGAGAATCATTTAAAATGTAATGAGCACTAAAGTCTCAAATATAGCACATTCTGCATGCCTCAAAAGTAACTATCAAAGAATAGCTGTAGGGTAGCCTCGTTTGGAACTTTAAAAAAATTATACAAACAATTTTTTTGGCATTCTTGTATCTTCGGAAATGGAATGGCTTTGTCAAGAAAAGAAAAATCCCATTGAATTATGATTATTTATTTGTCAAACCACATTTATTTATATTTATTGCATAGCAATTCCGAATACTAAAAAAATAAACACCTTATTTCTACTGTATTTCTTTATTACGTTAATTGTAGATGAACCCGATTATGCAGTCGATCACACAGATTCGTAAGTAAACGAATATTATCATCCTATAGGGTACGTTTATGCTCAGCTTTTTTTTGGCCAGAATGAGGCATTTGTTACGCGTTTAGTTCAAAACACGGTTGCGTCCTTACTCATTTTGTAGAGTCAGAGAAAAACGGCGATCGTAATCGCCGATCGTAAACTCACAAAAAGGTGCGTTTTAGATCGGCGATTATGGGGAAGCATAAACGCACAATCATTTGTAAACGCGTTTAAATGGGGTCAACGTAGCATGCGCAGTGCAGACTCTGCACTGCACTTCTGTGGCTCCTCCAGGCATGATTCTGGCTCTGAGCCAGAATCATGCCTGGATGAGCCAGAGAAGTGAGCATAAACAGTACACCGTGGAACTGCGATTACGATGAGCGTTTACGATGAGCGTTTCAAATCGCTCATTCTGCCTTCAAAATTGAGCATAAACGGAAAATAGTTTGGAGGCCATTGGGGCGACAATGAAATAGACCTTGAGACACAGTTTCTCCATAACTTCCTGTCTTCGGCTATTGTAGTTAGCTACTAAAATTATATTCCTGTCCATTGATTGATGTTATCAGTCCATGGGAGTGTTTCACAAAGACTAAGATTAACTTAAGTTGGACTTAAATATGACAGGCCGTTCATGCTACTGTTTTTCTCTCACCATTTACTGACATTGGTCTATCAAGGGATGTGGAAATCATGGTCACAAATCTACAGAATTTACATTTTTTGATATATTATCAAAAATATTATCTAAAGATCATGATGGTGAGAGCAAATGAGATAGAAAGATAGATAAATTGTATTCATTGATTCATTTCCATGTATCGCAGTTACAAGTAACTGAATTATGCATGGATAAAACATTGATGGTGAAGACAATTATACATTTCAAGAGATATCACAGTAAAAAGTACCTGAATTGCACATGATTAAATTGCTGGAAAAAAGCAAGTATACATTTCAAGATGTCACACAAATAGTGGCACGAACGGCTTGCCATAGTTAAGGCCAACTTAAAGTTGATCTTAGTCTTTGTGAAATACCCCTGAGGTCCTTTTTGGTCTGCCCTCCCTGTCCTCCCATCAGTTTCTCCCTGCAAGATGATGTTTGCCAAGCAATTTGTCTATCTAGTGACATGCCCAAACCATTGTAGCTGTCTTCTCTTCACAGTCGTGATGAGGTGACCGCGTGTTCCCGCATATAACTTTCCATTATTGCTCTCACTTCTTGTTGGACGTATGCGTAATGTAGTGGATATGCAGAGGCATTGGCAAACTCCAGCCCTTTAAGGAATTCTCTCGGAAAAACTTGGCACACTGCCATACAAGTGGCCTCTTTTCCCAAGCCATGATTGTGCGCTAGTAGTAGCAGGGTCACATATTTTAAGATATATAGGGGTCTAAATTTTAATTAAAGGTACTATGTCCCTTTTGCAGCCAACCTCAAATTCTGTAGAACCTTGCAGGAAATATGAATATGTCACGTATGTCCTATCTGTGAAATGTAAACGTTAGCAGTGTCCTCATATTCAAATTATGCAAGGAAACCCGTTCACTTGCTAGACTTCACTGTCAGACACTATTGAGTGACTGACTGGCTTTTTTTCTTCTTTGGTAATAACATACATGAAAAGAGTTGTAAAGGGTACATGAGCATTTGTTTACATCAATAACCCACTTCTTGTGACGGCCAAGATTAAACTGATTGAATCTTTGCGCAGCATAAAACGTATGACCATTCGGTACAATTGTCTGAAAATCGAGACTATTACTTTTGGGCTCTATAGCCCTAAAGTCGATTTGACAACTAATAGTCGTTATTTTCCCACTTGAAGACATTTTCAAGCCCCACCTTTTTTAGGGAAGTTCTTAATTAGTATTACCTTTCAAATGCAGTTTGGAATTTAACTTTTTCATTTTTTTGGCCTGCAAATGGGACATAGTACCTTTAATTTACGTCTTCAGAGATTTAGGCAAAATTTCTTTTTCGCTTTCTTAGTCCAATTGCCAGTGTAGTGCTAATCCAATACTGTGTGGCCTGTTTTGACCGGAAGTTCATGTGACTTCAAAATCCCGGCAAATTCGCTAGCAAAAAATAGAGCGTTGTCTTGTTTCCAGCTATATGCGGTAGGGAGAATTGAGGAGAACTTTCAGGAATATCTTGCGTGGATGGCTTATCACATCGATTGCATCCTAGATGAGCTGAGGTTGCCTTTCTCTGGTAGTGGTAGGATTAGTATCGGTACTGGACGACAACCGACTATTGTCAGTCTACTCTTGTTCTATAGATTGTGATGGTGGTGATTTATCTAAGGACGAGTATTCAAGTCAATTTTTTTTAAAGGAATCTACCAAACCTCTATCAGCTTGTATCTTGTTTATTTCTATATTTTCCGTTTTTTCGTTTATATTTCTCCCGCCGAATGTTATGAATTGACTTACATACAGGCAGGAGCGATTGCAATATGTATCCAACAATCTTCTCGAGCTCATGGCCGATGTGATCCATAAACCAAAGGACTTAAAGTCTCTTGGCTACCAGCTTGGCTTCTCTTCTTCATCTATGGAGAAATACAACGACCAAGCAGACGTATCCTTTGATAGTGTCTCAAGGTCAGGCTTTGGAGAGATGCTACGTGACTGGAGACGGCAGGTTCGACCTAGTGAGCAGGTAGATGAACTTCATCTGGCATTGCAAAATGCTGGGTTAGGCCATGCAGCTGATGTCATCATACACGAAGGTAAGTACCATATTCTTCTCTATTGGGCTTTGTAAGACCACTTTCCTTATATTGCTAAAAAGATGGAATCGATGATATATTGTCGGCCTCCCTTGTACTAAACCATAACCAAAGCACTTAATAAAATATTTTCAGCTTAAGTCTTCAGCGTAGCGATCTGGTATATGTTGTCGAACTATTTCGAATTCTGTCCAAGCATTGTACCCATTTACTACACATCGAAACGGACATAATAAGTTGGGGGAAACAAACTTGCCCAATATTAAAAGCACCCAGCAAGGTTATAACCAGTGACGTCCCACGTGATAGACCAGTATGGAACGCCAACTTTGATTGCCCTTTTGGCGTTTCATAATCCAGAGCCACCAATGTACCAAAATACTCCCAAATCCCTGCGAGCGCTACCATGGCTGTAAATTGTTAACGACAACAGTTATACAAATTTTGTTCTGTTTACGCTCTTTCATAAAAGAATTCCTGATTTTACTCTTTCCTCAATTTTTATGTGAACAACAAGTGAGTAGCATATCTAAATATTCGAATTATTGAATTTCCTTCTTTTCTTCCCCCATTTTCTCTTGTGAACCCTCAGTTTGTATCACGTCCAAATACTCAACCTATTTAATTTTCTTTCTTCTCTTTTCCGTTTTAGTGAGTAGCAGGAGGCGCTTTGCACAAGTCAGACAAGTATGGGAGTCAAAGAAGTAGGCAACTCTGCCATTGGAATGTTTATCATCACTCCCACGACCAAGAAGGGATTCACACGATTTATGCATTCAACTACGAAGTCTACGTCTTTGGAAACATGTATTCTAAGTCAGCATGAACCTCAGCCTGATCTCGAAGTTGCTTTTTCTTCCGTAGCCAATGCTTCTGGGATTTATGTAGTTAAGCTACATATGACATTGAATTATTTTTAATTATCCTTGATGGTAAACTAATATAAAAGAAAGCAAAACAACCAGGGAAGCAGGCTAGTGAAAGACTGAAAGAAATCGGACAAAAAAATGAGTAAATTAAGAGTATTTGACAAGAAATTTACTATCACTATACGTATAGTCACTTCAAATTAGCAACTAAATATGCACTCGAAATACCTCATATTTAAAAGGTGACTTAAAAGGGTTACAAAATTGGAAATAAATACTGATCCATATATGTGCGCAGTGTTTACACTGCAAACGACTTTCTGCGAAATTGAGTCAATTTATATAACGTCGATTAAATGAAAATCCTCATAATTGATGACTGTTCGGATACATCCTACATTGAAACAGGCCCAATAACATCGATACAGTTTCTCTTTCAATGCAATGGCATGACCAGTACTCATGTCTCTTCAAGATGTTTCAAATTCGGTTTAGTCGTCGTATTTGACATTTTAAGTTTGTTTGAAAAGAGTTATAGTTCTATCATCACAGTAGTTACCTGCGTATAGCATAACAACTACAGAAGTTATGTGCCTTATATTAATGTTGCATGAAGCATGCGTCAGATGACTTGCTGAAATGATAATTTTTATAAGACTATCACCCCGATCAATGTCAACTTATTGTAAACTTGTTTCAGTTATATTGATACAATAATCATATACATGATAATTAGCAGAATATATATATTTTTGTATTGGGTGTAATGTTGTGTAAATACCGTTTCAATTGTACTAGTAAAAGAATAACGTAAACAAGATTGTAACTACTAAATATATGTTTGTTATTGCAAGGTTGTACATGTATGAACACTGTTCTAGTTCTGTTGCTACACTACCACATTATGATAACTATTACAGAAGATATTTTCTTTATGGAAAGGTTGTATGGATACTGATTCAGTTATATTGATACAATTATCATATATACATAAGATTGCAATTAAAGAATGTTTTTTATTTATAGCAAGGTCGTATGAATACTGTTTTTAGTTCTGTTGCTACAATATCAATTACATATAATAATTACAGAAGATATTTCCCTTATTGTAAGGTTATATGAGTACTGTTTGAATGCTATTGGTACTATAATCCTTTATATGTTATACTAATTACAGAATATATTTTCCTTTTTCTAAGTTTGTATTGATACAATAATCATACACATGATAATTAGCAGAATTTTTTTTTTAATTGGGTGGAAGATTGTATAAATACCGTTTCAATTGTATTAGTAAAAAAAAAAATAACGTAAACAAGATTGTAACTACTAAATATATGTTTGTTATTGCAAGGTTGTACATGTTTGAATAATGTTTCAGTTTTGTTGCTAGAATATCCATGTACATAATATATTACTAACAATGACAATGTACGCAACATTATAATAAGCCAATATTTACTCTATTTTAAAGTTGTATATATAGCAGTATATAAATATTGTATTAATTGTAAGGTAGTATAAATACTGTTTCAATTCTATTACTAAAATAATCATTTAAATAAGATTGTAATTACTGAATATATTTTCTTTATTGCAAGGTTGTATGGATACTGTTTCAGTTAATATTGATACAATAATCATTAATATAAGGTTGTTATTGAGGAATATATTTTAACAGTTCTTTTGCTAGACTATCACATTCTGATGATGATTACAGAAGATATTTCTTCATGGAAAGCTTGTATGAATACTGTTTCAGTTATATTGATACAATAATCATATACATAAGATCATCTCTACTCACCCATATTATCTTTGCCATCGTCCTCCCCAGCGAAATGTCTAAACGCTTAAACGTTTTGATGTCTGCTGATTCCAGAGAATATGCCTCTGTTCCACAGAGCAGCACACACCAAAACATATACATATGATAATATTTGCAGAATATATTTTCAATATTCTAAGGTTGTATGGGTACTGCTTCAGTTCTGTTTCAACAATAGAAATTAACACAAGATTATAATTGCAGTCAATATTTCTTCTATTTTTATGTTGTATAACCGCCGTTTGAATTCCATTACTAGAATTATCATGTAAATAAGATTGCAACTACTGAATATATATTTTTTATTGCAAGGTTGTATAAATACCGTTACTGAAATAATCATGTAAAGAGATTGTAACTACTAAATATATGTTTGTTATTGCAAGGTTGTATAGATACAGTTCTAGTTCTGCTGATACACTATTACATATGATAATATTTACAGAAGATATCTTCTTCATTGAAAGGTTGTATGATTATTGTTTCAGTTATAATGATACAATAAACATATACATGATATATTAATAGCAGTATATATATTGTTTGTTATTGCAAGGTTGTAACAATCTAGTTCTCTTGCTACAATATCACTTACATAACAATTACAAACGATATTTTGCTTATTGTAAAGTTGTAAGAGTACTGTTTCGATGCTATTGCTACTATAATCCTTTTTATGTTATAATAATTACATAATATATTTTCCTTACTCTAAGTTTGTATGAATACTGTTTCAGTTTTGTTTGAACAATGACAATGTACACAATATTATAATAAGCCAATATTTCCTCTATTTTAAGGTTGTATAAATACCGTTACAATTCCATTACTGAAATAATCATGTACATAGGATTGTAATTACTGAATATATTTTCATTATTGCAAGGTTGTATGGATAATGTTTCAGTTAATATTGATACAATAATCATATATATATAAGAATGTAATTGAGGAATACATTTTTATTTATAGCAAGGTTGTATGAATACTGCTCTAGTTCTGTTGCTACACTATCACATATGATAGTATTTACATCAGATATCTTCTTCATTGTAAGGTTGTGTGATTATTTTTTTCAGTTATATTGATACAATAATCGTATACATGATATAGTAATAGCAGTATATATGTCATTAATAGTCAGGTTGTATAAATACCGTTTCAATTCTATTACTAAAATAATCATGTATATAACATTGTAGCTACTGAATATATTTTTGTTATTGCACGGTTGTAACAATGCTGTTCTTGTTCTGTTGCTACACTATAACAGTATGATAATATTTACAGAAATATTCACTTTAAGGAGAGGTTTTATGGATACTTTTGCAGTTATATTGATACAATAATCATATATATAAGATTGTAATTGAGAAATATATTTTCTATATTGCAAGGTAGTATGAATACCCTTTTAGTTATGTTGGTACACTATCACTAACATATAATAATTACAGAAGATATGTCCTTATTTTAAGGTTGTATGAGTACTGTTTCAATGCTATTGCTACTTTAATCCTATTTATGCTTTAATAATTACAGAATATATTTTCCTTATTCTTATTTTGTATGAATACTGTTTCAGTCTGTTTCAACAATGACAATATACACAAGATTATACTTGCAGTCAATATATGCGTTATTATGAGGTTGTATGAAAACGGTTCTAGTTGTATGGCTACAACAACCATTAATATAGGTTAGTTTAACCATTGTAGAGTGTATTTCCCTATTGCAAGGATGTATAAGACTTTTTTTTTTCTTCAGTTCTATAATGCAATGATCATGTACATTATGTAATAAGGGCAGTAACTGTGTGCTTACTATAATGAAAGCAACATTTCAATGAAATCTTCTCCAGTTGTATTGCTACAACGATCATGTACATAACACAATAATAGCAGCGTATAGTTGTGTAATTGTAAACTCGTATGAAATCTTTTGTTCTGTTTTATTGCAACAATCATAAGTTGTGTGGTATAGGCTAGCTTTGATTTCTGAGTTGTTCATTCATGTTATAAGGCGGAAGAGTATCATTGGAGCAATGCTACTTTAAGATGACTGCTCATAAAAATGTAACTTCAGTCTTTGTAATATGTTTTGATGACACAGGTGTGATATCCCACATGTGCCACGTATGTGTGCAGTGTTTTCATATCTTGCACAGTCTTCAGCAAGATTGCATATCGTTATGATTTGTATACATCTGTATTCTTTTCCTTGTAATAGTTTAATTCAGTTGATTTGGTCCTTTATGGCTTAGTCTGCCAAAGGAATTGGTATTTGTATATATTTGTTTTACGTTTTCATTTCTTGTATTGTATATATTATCTATAATAATTTGTATTTGCTGCCTCGACTGCATTTTAGATTATTCAACGTTTCTAACATGTATATAATTTCGATGTTGTCATAGCTCAAAAACCAATCGTATGAAAAATGTAATAATCAACATTCTCCATTGAATTGCAGACAGTATCTTTTACAAGGTGCTTGTCAAAAAGTCCTTGAATTTATGTTAAGAGGTATCAAAGTTGTTTAAATTGAACTTCTACACAAATAAAAAATACAACAATATCGGAGTATATATTTGTATTAAGTCATAGTATGGTTGAAGAAAAGGCGTTTCGGGACTGTTATATCAATGATCATGTACATAAGACGATATATACAGTAATGTTTGTATAATATTAAGTCGTTGTAACATTTCAACTGTGGTGGCGCAATGGCCATTTACATTAAGAGTGTTGAAATAAAGTAATAGATATTGCAAAAGTTTGCGTATAATGATCATACATGGCCGCGAACTGAGAGAGCTCTCAAATGGACCCCCACCCTGGCCAGGTGTGAACTTACATTTAAAAAGTCATATTGGAATAAGACACTTGATTACATATCACCTTTAACAAAAAAATAAGAGCTCAATCCATTTATCTGATCACTCATGTCAGAGTCGGGTTGATGCTTCATATAATAGTTGTATTGACACACACATCTTGTTCTTACGTTTG